AAATGTAAAGAACCCTGTAAATTATCCAACAGTCCTATGTATTCTGTTTTTCTCCTTACTGCTTGTGACAAAAAGGAGGAGCCAGTGAAAACAATAATCTTCCCTGAGAATCATGCATTCACTGTAACCATGTAAGGCCATGACTCACTGTACACACACACACACACACACACACACACACACACACACACCCCACACACAGGGACGGGGGGAACCCATAGTGTTATGTTTATATATATGAGTCAGGATTCTTGAAATTGTGTGATACCAGAACAGAAAGTATCTAGATATTGAACTTGACAAATAGTCAAGTTAGCAGAGTTTTCTGTAAAGGACAGACTCCAGGCAAAAGCATCATGTTCATTAATGGTGGACAAGTAGGGGTGTTTTTCTTTTTCCTTTACTGTAATGTTTTAGACAAATACATTGTTGAGAAAAATGTGAAATTTACATGAATCCCAAGAAAACGGAAAACTTCCAAATGAATTTCATGAGTTGCTTCAGAACATTTCCTCTCCTCATGAAATCTCTGGACTACTGATTCATAGCTTGTTCATCTCCTCTATAAAGATTCTTCCGTAGATAATTTTTAGAAGCCCTGCCCCTATGCAAGAATTTTTTTTCCCAATTCTCCTTTAAATATGTTTATCTTTATTGAGCTTCTTTCTTTCATTTTGCAATTTCTGTGGAATGAATCCACATTTTTAAGGGTGTTAGCGAAGTAGTTACTTGTGTTTGAAGCATCATTTTGTTTTCTTTGCAGATGATCACTCTTTTTCTCTGAGTTGCCGATGTGGTGGAAAATACAGTGTTTCCAAGGATGAAGCAGAAGAAGTCAACTTGATTTCTTGTGATACATGTTCACTAATTGTAGAAGTCCTTCATTATAACTAAAATTGTTCACTACTGGGAATCATTTAGCTTTGTATTCAGACATGATGTGAAGAGAGGCCACTGGGCTTTGTTAATTCAAGGAAATGGATTTTTTTTGTCAGCCCTATTATAATATTTGTAAAGAAAATACAAGCTTGTCAGGCAGAAACCACCTTAGATTAATAGAAAATTAATTTAGTTATTTATATGTGTTAATATTTACAGGTTGCCACAAAAAGGACTTGAATTATAAATTGTATTTAGTGAAAATTCCCATGTAAGAACTTATTATTTCATTTTTCCTTGATACAAAAAAGAATTTTCTATTTCCTAACATGATCATGTCTCCTCTTTTAGTGAGTAGCAGTATCATCATATTCCTTTATAGTTACTAAGTTTCTGATCTAATAGATGTTTCTAGATGCTAAAGTTATAGGTCTGTCATACATCTATCTCAAATTCTAGGGTCATTCGAATTAAATTAGAATCTTTTGTGAATAATGTAAGGTCAGTGCTCCCATAATGAAGAAGGCTTGATGTGGATATTGATGAGGTTATTTCAGAGTTAACAGAGTAGAAATAAAGATAGCTTTCAAGTCAGAAGACTTGATTCCAGTCTTTGCGCTATATTTCCATAGTTCATGAACACTGTCATATCCAACTTTAAATGTAATTTAGGAAATGGATGCTTTTTAAAAAAATGAAATTGGTACATTACTTTTACGAAGATATAGTATTAATGCCTGCACTTATGAATAAATGGATGATTAAGTGTGATTTTATAATGTATCATTGACTGTAGCAGACTATAGATGGCATAGTCCTTAAAGATTTATTTTTTTATGATTCAATATTCTCCATAAAGTATAAGTCAGAACTCATTTAAAGAACTTTAAGGGACCCTTTATGGCAGTGGTCCCCAACCTTTTTGGCACTACAGACTGGTTTCATGGGAGACAGTTTTTCCACAGATGCAGTGGGGATGGCTTCGGGATGATTCAAGCGCATTACATTTATTGTGCAGCTAAACCTCTCTGCTAATGATAATCTGCATTTGCAGCTGCTCCCCAGCACTAGCACCACCGCCTCAGCTCCACCTCAGATCGTCAGCCATTAGATTCTCATAAGGAGCTTGCAACCCACATCCCTCAAATGTGCAGTTTACAGTAAGGTTTGTGCTCCTATGAGAATCTAATGCCCCTGCTGATCTGACAGGAGGCGGAGCTTATGTGGTGATGTGAGTGATGGGGAGTGGCTGTAAATACAGATGAAGCTTCACTCGCTCGCCTGCCACTCACCTTCTACTGTGTGGCCTGGTTCCTAATAGGCCACAGACTGCTACCGGTCTGTGGCCCGGGGGTTGGGGACCACAGCTTTATGGGATCACGGAAACATTTTTACTCCAAGTGAGTGGGCTAAGCATGTAACGTAGCAGTTTTTTAAGTCTAATTCTTGGCATTGTCAGATTAGATTTATAAATAAAAAAGAGTTACTACTCTGACTTGTAACTGTAGCTGAAGTGTGAGGCATATTCTAGAAGAGTAGATTATTTTCATTATACCTCTTAAAAAATTCAAAAGTGAAGTAGTTATCCAAGTCCCCCCCACCACAAATATTTTGAACTAATGTAGCTTGCACAGTGTGTTGCTTATTTTTTACATTTAACAATTAAAAATAACTAAAAATGAATAGCAAATAGTTTATTGTTAAGTACATGGTTTCAGTGGCAGTAATAATTTCACTTGAACAGGAGACAATAATCAAGTCATAAAAATACATTTTTGCTAATCATCAGAAAATCTGTGGCCATTAGGGCTGTCACGTAGAAATCCAAAATCACTGAGAGGCCAAATCTGTAAAATAAAAATGTGGTTGTAGACGATTAATGAAAATAATGTTATATCATCATCATATTCCTTGTTTCTATTCATCTCTTTTCTCTGTCACATATTAAAACACTTTGTCCTTACTTGTCAGTCAAGAATAAAATTATCTGCATCAAAATAAGACTTTAGAAAATAAACTTCTATGCATATATATGTTTAAACTCTAAAGTTTGGAACATTCAAATATTATATAAGAAACTATATATGTTAGTGTATGAATATATGAATGTCTGTGTTTTACTACCCTCGAATAAGAGTGAATTATATACCTTCAACTTAAAAGTATTTAGGTGTTAAGTACTTGAATATGGCATCCGTTTAAATGTAAAGAACCCTGTAAATTATCCAACAGTCCTATGTATTCTGTTTTTCTCCTTACTGCTTGTGATAAAAAGGAGGAGCCAGTGAAAACAATAATCTTCCCTGAGAATCATGCATTCACCGTAACCATGTAAGGCCATGACTCACTGTACTTAACTGGGGTGTCCCTGCATTTCAGGTAGTTTGAACCCAGACTGCTGTTCTGCACATACTTATTAAAATATGCCCAGGGTATGAATATCATGTAGAAATTGTAAAAGAGAATTTGATTTTTGGAAATTCAAATTAAAGGTTTCTTAGGGTATAGCTAAGATAGTTTGAACTTTATTATTATCCCTATGGGAGTTGAAGGAAGGGGGAATAATGTTTTGAATATAACTATTAAAGGCCACCATGTTCATAAAATGTAGTCAGTGCAACAGTGAAGTGAACTGACAGCCTGAAAATTTCAAAGTTCATTTTGAGAGAAACTTTTTTTTTCAAGCTCAGAGAATAAAGCCTATATTTTAAGCATAAAATGGTACCTTAAAGAAGATTCGTCCTCTTATTAGTCCATATGGAATAGGTCCATAGTACCTTGAATCTGTAGAATTCTGTAGATTATCACCTTCTAACCAAACATGACCCGTTGGCACCTAGAATTAGAGAAGAAAAGCAGCCCCTTTAAAAAAGATAAAACCTAATTTGGGTACTATAATTTAAAAGCATGTCATTTAGAGGTAGAGGTAAATGTAAATACCCCTTTTATCAAATAATACAGATTCTAAGATTTGCATTTTTGCTTTTATTTCTTGCATAATAAAATAATTTTGACTAAATATCAAAGGTTTCAACTTTTTAAAAGACCTATCTTTTTTTGTCATGTGGTTCACAAACATTAATTTGTTATACAAACCCCAAACTGAGGCTATAAGAGATCAAAACAGTGTGACAGGGTCATTAATTTAATAGACTTCAAAAGAGGTCATTAGGATGCTGACTGAAAATGTGCCCTTATGTCTCAGTAACAGCATAAGCAGGGCAGCCACTCTCTCAGCAACATCCTGGGGCCAATACCAAGGCCAGACCTATTAGAATGCTCATGATGAACTAAATGGTAATTGATTGTGACATCAATTACAAATAATCTCATCATTTTACTGGAGTGGGCTTGTCAGAATTCTAATTAAGATCCCTGTTCTGCCTTTGTACAGGCCATATCTTCAATGCATTATACTTTGATAATGACCATGAAGAACCAAAAGGACCTATTATAAAATCATCAGTTGTAAAATTAATGATGGTGACCTTCTACTAAGTAAAAAGACCCTATCTCCTATATGTCCTATATAGTAACTGGTAAATAAGTTTTAAGTTTTTACTCAGTGACAACCATAAAAATATTTAGAACACATTACTTTCTAAAAAAGCATTCTACAATGAGATATCTTTGCCCACTAATATCTGTTCAGTATAAACTTAAAAAATTACTCTTTAAAAGTTTTTATTTTACAGTTTTGTTACCCAAGAAAGTTGAATTATTGACCAGAGCAAAATGATCCATTGGGAAATAATTTATTTTCACTATCCTTTTTGCTCGGGAATTTTCTATGAAGAAAAATATCCCTATTTGTATTTAATAACAGAGACTGTAATTTTTTAAATGTCACAGATTACTTTTTTGAAAAATTTATACAAAAATGTAAAATTTCAATTTTACTTTTTATTATATAAGATTATGCAATTCTGGAATGTCTTATGTAGAAATACTTGCCAAAAAACTTCAAGTTAACTCCAGTTAGATACACTTAAATGTTAAATCTCTATTTACAGAAAAAGGACATAAGTTTACTGATAGAATGTCAGATAGTATAAGATCACTCTTTTATTAGTGGAAGTAATTATATTTAATAAGTCCTAGGGACAATAGCAAGGTTACTTCCTATCAATATAATAAAATTGACATATGTACAGTAAGGCTAAGACTGCTACAGTAGAAAAATTACATCTCAGGTCATAAAAGGAAGGAAGAACAAAGTAATGAATTTGGAAAATCCAGTTGTAATTAACATATTATGAAGTATTATTTTGACAAAAGCTGTAAGGTAAAGAATATCTTAATGTTTATCCAGAGTTTCTCATTGAAATTGAATTCTAAAGATAGGTAATATATAACAAATAAATGAAATCATGAAGTTAGGGGCACCAGTAAAAGCAAACGAAAAATATTCTACAAGCTAATAAGACAACATACCAACAATCTAGGGAGATCTTTGCCTGTCCCACTGACCACAAACCAGGACCCATGGTTTCTAACTTTCCATGAAGCTTTCCCTAAACTTGTCTGCTCGTACCAAATTCTCTGTTTAGAGCACTTACCATATAAAGTCAGCATTGCTTAGGGCCCTAGATATAACATCTTTTTACCTGCTTGGCTCTTCTGTAAGTCTTTACTATTGTAGAACAGAATAAGCCAACAGAAAGCAATGTCATGATTTTAATTCATTTTTTTCAGAGTGTTCATTACTTTTATTACCATTGTTACTAGATTTTTGCCAATCTGGTGAAAAATGGTACATCAGTGTCTTCATTTGCCTTTGTCTTATTATGAGTGAGGCTGAATCTCTTTTCATACGTTCAAAAGCCATATATAATTCCTTTTCTGTGATGCATTTTTGCCTATCTTTTGCCATGTCTATTGGGTTGATCTCTTTTTTTCCTCATTTCATAAGCGCTCTTTAAATATTAGGGAGGGTGTGGTAGGTGGCTCACACCCGTGGTCCCAGGACTTTGGGAGGCCAAGGCAGGAGGATGGCTTGAAGGTTAGGAGTTTGAGACCAGCCTGGGCAAACAGAGCAAGACTCTGTCTCTTTAAAAAAAAAAAAAAAAATTAGGGAGATTATCCCTTTGTGATACAAATGGAAAATATTGCCAATTTGTCATTTGTCTTATCAATCTTTGCTTTTTATATCTTCTAAATTTTGAGTCATAGGCTTTTGTGGTTTCATTTTCTACATTTAACTATTTTATTTTTTGGGAATACATCCTGACAGATGGTATAAGGTTTGGAATGTTTTAA